CAACTCATGACTGTCTAATAGGGCCTCTCTTCTAAAACTTTTCTTATATTCGTTAATTATGTTCATTTTTTGTGCCACACAAGGTTGTGTTTTATTGTAAGTAATGTGACATAGCAATAATGTCTCAATCCATCACTCACTGGAGACAACTCTTAAAATTTGGGTGTATTTTAATTGCTTTTTTCCTTTTTCCAATTTATGTAAATTGTATGTTCTGAAATTATTGATAACAAAAAGAGCAAACGTGAGGCCTTGTGTCATGATTATGAAATTTCTCCACATTCCAGGGATTGTATTTTTATCTAAAGAAAGTAATTTATCCTGATTTATCCTGATTTTTTATTGGTGGATTTAAAGGCTCATGCCTAGTAAGAAGAGCATCTCCTACAGTTGTTTGAGAGATGCCTGCAGTCTTCTCCCTGCTCTCGGGACTTCTGGGGCATGCCTTGGCTGCCTGTCTGACGTCTGTTTCTGATAAGTGAGTTTTAGTCTCTAACAGCTCTTGGGAATTTTGTAGGCAGAGACCTGGTGAGATCATTTTGCTTTCCGCTGAATTTCCTTTCTCTGTTTTTTTGGACCGTTCTGATGAACATGACCCTGGAGCATTCAATAATACCTCTGTTCCCTTAGGAACTATTGGCCTACTCCCTGGTTTTATCTCTCTCTGCACAAAAGCTCCATGTCTCTGGAAAGGAAAACAAAGTTGACATTAACCAGGGGAACACAAATTGCTGGAAGATGCAGCTGTGAACTGAGTTCATGGGTTAGCTCAAGTTCTAGGGGTGCAGGCATTTATTCTCTGCCTCTTCACTGGCTGTCACCTTAGTCCAAAGCCAAAGACACCACCATAATAATTATTGGTGAATCTTTTTTAAATTATAAAATAGGGTGCACCAGAAAATGAACAGGAAGGGAAAAAAAGCAGAATGTCAAAGAAGCAGCATCTCATTACCTCCCATTCTCAACTTTTCTATCCTTTGGTTGTTTAAGACTAGTCATATAAAATTTAACTTCTTGCTTTATGGATTTTGATGAATACAACAGAAATTATAGGCAGACCTAGGATTTATGATTGCATCCCAAATGTCTGTTAGTTCCAACAAAAGGCTTACTAATAATGAAATATGAAAGCAAGCCTCTACAGTTGGAAAAATCCAATAATTGATGATTACATTTCTATTTGGCTTCATAAACTTTCTATGTATCTCCCTGCCACATATGTACATTAAGCATATAAAAAAGTTTACCAAACTGCTTTGATATTATTATTTTTGTAATGATAGGGTCTCACTATGTTGCTCAGGCTGGACTTGAACTCCTGGGCTCAAGCCATCCTCCCACCTCAGCCTCCTCAGTAGCTAAGACTATAGGCACGAATCACCGTGCCTGGCTATGCTTTGATGTTATCTTACACAAATGATTTCAATAATTTAAGTAAACCAAATTCTAAAGACTGTGATTCAAATTATGATATCATTCCTTAGTTTTACTATGGCATGTGGCTGAGATTCTATCCTTACAAATAACTACGTTAGTTTGTTTAATAGACTTAGAAAGATGATTATGACTTGAAAAGGCTTAAAGTTCTATTGTAAATCTACTCTGTCCTAAAGTATTAAATAATTAATTCTAAATATTGTCTCACCTTTCCTCGGATGGGCTCATTAGGAGTTTTCCTGGCATCATATTGATGAATAAAAGAGATGCGTTCTGCAAAACTGTTTTGAAGTTCTGCTGATGCATCAGGAAAGGCAAGTGGAACTAAG